GGATCTGATCCACCAATTGGGGGATCTGTATCCTGCTCCAGAGGAGGATCAAGAAAGGTGGATCTGATCCTGATCCACCTTATAACGGTTAGCGTTCCCTCTACACACAATTGCCGGATCTGATCCACCCATTGGGGGATCTGATCCGGCAATTTGGCAAAAGGTGGATCAGATCCCCCAATTGGTGGATCAAGTGGGAACGGATTGTTAATGCATTGTACAAGTATTACTTCTGTGAAAAGACTCCCATTGTTTTCGTCCCTTACAGAAAATGGCTTACATTCTGCCCGTCAGATGAAAAGACTTGCTCGGAGTGTGTAAAATTAAAATATAGATGTTCCACATTCAGAATGTGCATGGCAAATGGTCACCCCAAGTGTGGAAGTCTAGGGTCAATATTCACGCAAATGCTGCTTCAATCATCATGGCGATCTCACTAGTGCAGTGCAAATGTGTGGTACACGTTTCCAAGTGTGTCATGTCTGTACCACAACCTTTTTGAGAACCACTCGATCCAAGACTTGAATGTTGGAAAGTGTGAACCAATTACGTGTATGTTATAATTTTTTTGTCGAAAATGTGATTAGATCTTAGATTGCAAACCATCAATACAGGTGTGGGAAATAGGGTAAAGCTATTCTGGCAAGGAATGTATAAAAAGGTGACAGTACTGGCAAAGCCTGCTACAGTATACATGTATGTACTTGTACATGTGCATGTGCACCACTAGCCTTTTGTAGGTGTCTTTTTTAAATGCTTATTTCCCAAGTATTTAGCATGCCTTTGACTTAACCAATGCTACTGCATGAAAGAGGGGATCTTAAATGAGTCAAAACTACAAAATAGTATTAATAGAAGTCAATTAGAATTGTTTATTTTGTAAAGAAACATGTTTGTCTGTGAAAATGCTAAACATTTGCATGTACATGACTTTTGTCTATTTGTGAAAACGGGTGCTATTTTGCTTTAGCATGTGCCAGGTGCAAAAGACACATACATGTACATGTACCAGTAGTTACGTTTGTATATCTTTCCAGAGTCAAATTCGCCTCTTAGTGAAAATGACAAAAGGAGTTTTGCCCATGGTTTTGCCCTTCATTGCTAAAGCTACATGTACATCTATGGAAAACAAATTTGTCTCTTGTTGAAATGTAAAATGTGGTACAGTTGAGTTTTGCCTGAGGGAGATCATACTGATTCGGCTGATTTTAGTAGATTTGGTAAAAAAAAATTACACCAAGTTGTTCCGGTAGGCATTGCATAGCCTGGTTGATTTTTCCAAAAACAGAAATTTGAAGCAATCATGATAGGGGGCCAAAGTGTTTTTTCATGAAAACATTCACGTTATACCTGTACTGCACGTATACATATACATGTACAGTGTAGGTGTGTTACATTAAGCCAACATAAAATTTGCTGCATACTTTGACACTCGTGCAGTAGTAGTTTGAATACTTGAAAAATTGGACGATAATTCCCCAAACATGAAATGCAGGGACAAGGAATTTCTGATGAGTTACCCTCATGAAACGTTTTTCTGCAAATATTCTTAAAAGTACAGTTCTTTATGTTGTAATTAAAGCTCAATATTTTCATTTTTTATAATTTTGGTCGCTTAAAATGGTTTCAGTTGTCTTGATAATAAATATTTCTATTTTGTAAGTTTGAAATTTGATGAGCCTTTCCTAATATTGTTCTAATCCTCTCATTTCATCTTGCAGGTCTGGAGATGAAGCTCTTCACACAGAATGGTGACAGCTTGTCTGAGAGGTTCATCTTGAATGAATTTGGAGCACGTAGAGGCCCCGGCATCCCCATTCAGACAGCTACCCCAGCAGCACAGATGAAAAGAGGTTACACTCAGATTACCTTACCCCTAGACAGCCGCCACAACCTCTATGTCAGTAACGTGGCCTCTTTAGGTCAGTTTTGGATCCAGCAAGCAAGCAAGACCCAAGATCTAGACAACTTGATGGACAGTATCAGTGCCCAGTATGATAGTCTCCGTCCTGGAGAGAAGACATTAGGAGCTTTCGAAGTGGGCACTCCTTGTATTGCAAAGTTTTCTGATGATGGCGCCAACTATCGAGCTGTGGTAACAGAGGCAAGGGGTCCAAAACAGTGCACTGTTCAGTTTGTGGACTTTGGCAACTCAGAAGTCAAAGACGCAGCAAGTTTAAGGGCCATCACTGATGACTTGTTGCAGCACCCAGCCATTGCCATAAAATGCTCTCTGAGTGGGATCAATGAGCACTATAGTTCCACTAGGGCTGTGGAACGATTTGAGGAGCTGACTGCTGACAAGGAGTTGTGTGGGAAGGTAGTCGGGATGAGTGGCAACACTTGTAATATGCTGCTCTTGGATCCCCAAGGGGAAGAGAATGCTGATATTGTCAGTGTGCTGGTGAAAGAGGGTCTGGCATCTCGTTCTGTTGAGAATTTCAGTGCTCAGGCAAAGGGTGGAGCCAGTGCAGGAGCGTTTAATGCAGGTGGGGATGCAGATGCTTGTAAATCCTATGTTGATCCGAAAGTCAGCCAGGGCTCCAAAGTTGTCATTGAAATCATTGCCATACGAGGAATCGATGACTTTTCATGCCAGTTGATGGAGGATGCTGAAGCCTTCAATGCCATGATGGATAGACTGCAGACTGATTACTCTGCAACTTCAGGCACAAGTGTATTGAGGTCACCGACAGTAGGTCAACCTTGTTGTGTCAGGTTTACTGAAGACAACTGCTGGTACAGGGCCCTTGTCGAATCTGTCCAGGGCAGAGAAATTGGAGTCCAGTATGTTGACTATGGAAATAGGGAAGTTGTGGATGCCTCCAAGCTCATGCAGCTCAAATCGGAGTATTTGACACTGCCACTTCAGTGTATTGATTGCAGCTTAGATGGGGCGCCAGCTTTGGAAGGAACTGAAGCAGAGAGAGCTCGCAATTGGTTGGACAATCACACTGAAGAAAACTCTGTTGCAACTGTGACAAGCATACGAGGTGGCAGATTTGCAGTCATCTTAAAATCAGTAGAAACGGGAGTCATTCTGAATGATGAAATCAAGAAAGTACTGCCACGGCAAAGAGTGGAAAAGAAAATAAAGACCCCACCCAGAGCACAGCCCTTGCAAGAAGAATCTCGGCCCATGCAGCACAGTCCACCAAGAAGCCAGCCAGTCAACTCCATGTCCGCATCTGTTGCTGACCTCGGGTTCTGGAGTGAAGTCAAGCTTGCAAAGGAGGCTGATGTCTACATATCTCATGTGGAAGACCCAAGCAAATTCTTCTGCCAGTTGGTATCACAGGAGGGTCATCTGAACCTTCTAATGGATACCATCAACAGCAACGCCATTCAGTCAAAGCTGAAGCAGCTCCAGCAGGCCTGTGTGGGAACACCATGCATTGCCCAGTTCTCTGAGGACAACAGCTGGTACAGGGGTGTCATCAAAGACCAGAAGCCTGGCTGTTATAGGGTCTGCTTTGTGGACTATGGCAACGAGGAGGATGTTCCTCTGGGGAAAGTCAGCAAGATCACAGAAGACCTCATGTCACTTCCACAGCAGGCTGCTTCCTGCTGCCTCAGTGGTTGGGACTTGACCTGGAAGGAAGACAAAGTCATTCAGCATATGAAGAACTTGGCAGCTGACGTTGAGAAGTTCCACTTAACTGTACGGGAATCAAAAGGTATGTCTGTTGTACAACTAAAGTGGCAGGGTAAGGACATGCTGCAAGAGCTCAGGAAAGTTAGAGACAGCATTCCCAAAGAGGTCAACCAAACAACGAAGGCTTCCTCTCCACCTCGACAGAAAGAGAATCTGGTAAACAGCACCCAACCATTTACCATTGCATCTGCTGTAGAGAGTGTCAAAGTTGATCAGCAGGTCATGATGGCCGCCAGTGTTGTGAAAGGCCCCACAAAGTTCTTCTGTCAGCTGTGCTCCCAGTACGATCAGCTCCAGGAGCTGTCTGCAGATATGAATAATCACTATGTAGGCTCTAACCCCAACAAAGAGAAGTTGAATGTGGCTATCTCAGGGGCTTTCTGTGCTGCCCAGTCTTCAAGTGATGGAGCATGGTACCGGGCCAAAATACTTCATGAAGCCGGCCCAGGCAAAGTCAAGGTTAAGTTTGTGGACTATGGTGATAGTGATGTTGTGGCTGTGGACTCCCTGCACAATCTGCTGCCTCAGTTTCGCAATCTTCCCACTCAGGCCATCAAGTGCCGTATGTCAGGCATGATGCAGAAATTTGAAGCAGTGGTTGTAGACCAAGAGGTGATGGTCAAAGTCAAGACCAAACAAGATGGGAAACTAGAGATTGAATACCAAGATGATGCCTTCGGTGCTAAAGTCCAAGAAGTTTTTGGCCCTGTGGTTCCAGCATTGCCCATCCATGTTGGTTACACAAAACAGAGGAATCTGGGGAACACAGATCAAGATGTGTATGTCTCCCATGTGGACAACTTGCAGAAGTTCTACATCCAGGTGTGCAGTCAAAGTGATGAGATCGATGTGCTGCAGCAAAAGCTCAAAACTGCATACAGCAGCAATGCTAGTGGACTGGTCTCTTCAACTGCTGTTGGTACACCATGCTGTGCCAAGTTCTCTGAGGATGGTGACTGGTATCGTGCAGTAGTCACTGGGCATCCTAGTCCAAGCAGGGTCATAGTCCAATTTGTAGATTTCGGCAACAGCGAGGAGCAGTCTACATCAGATCTGAGGTCCCTCGAGCCAGAATTTCTTCAACAAATGGTTGGTGCAGTAGAGTGCAGACTCAAAGATATTGAATCCGCAAATCTGGATGTTGCAAACGAGTTCCTCAATTTGACTGTTGATAAAACCATGAAGTGCAAGTTTCACAGTAGAGAGGAGCCTTATGACGTCCAATTCCCAGATTTGTACGAGGAGGTGAAGAAGTGGCAACAGGGTTATGCACAGCAACCTGCATCGATATTGTCTTGTCCACCTTCTAACATGTTAGCTGTAGGAGTGAAGGAGGAAGTTTATGTCTCCTCTGGTACCAGCCCAGCAAGTTTCTGGTGCCAGCTGGCCCGGCAGGAAGATACATTGAACAAGTTGATGAATTCCATTGACGCACACTACAGTGCTCTTTCTAATGGTGAAGGGCAGATGAGATCTCCAGTGATAGGCAGTCTCTGTGTTGCTCAGTTTGCAGATGATGGCGGTTGGTACCGAGCCAAAATAACCGAAGTCCATGCCGATGCATGTGTGGTGACTTTCATTGATTATGGCAATTCAGACAAAGTGCCCAGGCACCTGATCATGGACATCAAGGAAGACTTCCTTGTGGCAGAGCAGCAAGCTTGCTTGTGTAGTCTTGGTGATGTAGACCCTGTAGCTGCAAACTGGACAACGGAAGCATATGATGGCTTTCTCGACCTGACAGGTGACAAGAAACTATTAGCTGAGGTGATTTCAGTTGATTCCAGCACCTCTTCACATCAGGTGATCCTCTTGGACCTTGGCATGAGCCTTGGGAAAAGACTTATTGAAAAGGGGCATGCAAGACCTGTACCTGTATCCACCAGAGCCATCAGATTTGGCTCTGAGAGTGAGGAACTACCAGACCAGCTCAGAACTGAGCTGAGTGGTTTCAAGAAGCTGGACATCATCCAAGGTTCCTCGGAGAAAGTCTATGTAACTGTAGCAAACTCTTTGCATGAGTTCTACTGCCAGATTGCTGCTAAGGCAATAGGAGACTTGGAACCCTTGTCAGAGAAACTACAGTCAGAGGCCGAATCACTTGAGGACATCACAGCTGACAGTATCCAGGGAATGCCATGCATTGCCAAGTTTTCAGACGATGAACAGTGGTACCGTGCAACAGTCCTAGCAGAGAAGGGAGACATGGTTGAAGTGTTCTTTGTGGACTATGGAAACAAGCAGAGTGTCCCACGAGACCAGGTCAAGGCCTTGACTGAAGACTTCTCAGACCTGCCAGCACAGACCGTGAAGTGCGCCCTCGCCCACATTCCTGGATCCACTGCCAGCGATGACACTGCCGTGGCTGAGTTTGAAAATGTGGTGCTGGAGAGTGAAAGCTTGACAGCTGAGTTTGTTCGTCAGAAGGGCTGTACCTGGATTGTTAAACTCCTGAATGATGGCCAGCCAGTTGCAGAGGCATTGGGTGTCGAACTGCTGGAGGAGATTTCAGGTGAGAAGAATTAAGATCCTAGTCTTTTAAAGGGTTCATGATAGGAATTTCATTTGGGGATGTGTTGTGAACTTTCTACTCCCTTAAATGTAAGACACCAATCTGACCTCCCTTTTACCCTCATTGAAAAGTGCATTTTTTAAAAACATGTAGCTGTTCCATGCTTTTCCTGACAATGAGATAGCTGTTGCTGTGATGTAATCAAACTTGTCAAGGGAAGACACTGTTTGGGGGATTTATTCAAATTGTCAAGCCACAATTTGCTCATTGAAAACAGTTGTTAGAAATTTTGCCAACTTGTCAAAGTAATGTTTAAGGTAGAAAATATTTGAAATTCTTGCCAACTGCAATGAAGAAATAGCCGTAGCACTGAGGGTTTCTGATGACACCACAGTTTTCCTAACTAATGAAAATGCATGAATAGCACCACAAATGTAAAATCAGGTAAAATTCACGAGAATTCTCAAAAATTATGCTCCATTGACCATGTAATCTTCAGCCATGAGTGTGTATTTTTGTCTCATTAGAAGCTCCTGAGCTACATGTACCGTCACCTCTGAGAAGCCTGAGCTATACCCAGGCACCGTTGAAAGCTTGCCAAGTTGTTGAAGTCTTTGTCACTGCAGTCAACAGCCCTGAGGTAAACACAAATTGTAATGTCGAATTGGCATGATGTAATTCTGAACTAATTCAGTGAAACCAAGCACACTGTACAAATTGGGCAGTGGAAAATGGATTTCATCTAAACACTTTGCCTTTTATGGAGCAGCAAGACCAAAGTTATAAAGTGATGTGACCAACATGTACCTGTATCTTAACTCGTGTTACAATGCACCAGTACATGTACAATACAAATTGAACATTGCAAGTAATAATTTTTGGGGAGGGGCTCAGAAAGGAAAAAGTGCTACTTTAAAGAAAGTTTGACATATATAAAATACCGGTAAGACCAAAATCACAATAAAATGTACTGATGAAAGTTATACCGGTAAACTCAAGATACATGAAATGTTCTACACTGAGCTCATTTTTTAGAAGCACTAATTTCACACTGAAGTCGTGGTTCTTTAATGGAACATTTATCTGCCTTAATAAATACCAAAATTTCTGTGGAAAGGTGAAGGGATTGAGGTTCACAAGCTGTAATCATGAACTTTACTGTCACCCTGACTGTATGATTCTATAGGGACTAAAAAATAGCACATGCTGGTAACAATGGAACATGGGGCAGGTCTTTTCGCTCTTTGCACGCTGCCACCATAGGCATGCAGAGCTTTGGTCTGACACTTTGTAGAATCGCATCAGAATCGCATCCTTGCAGCTTTTCAAATATTGTCCAACCGCATTGTAATAAGAACTACACAGCACATGCACAATTACTAAGCAACATACGCGGGAATCACTGAACCAGCTTGTGTAAAGATTGAGATCGAGGCTCTGCATGCCTATGGTGGCAGCATGCAAAGAGCGAATAATCTTGCTTTGAGTTTGCCTACTATGGGTACTAAAAGACTGAGGGGGTTGGAAGGGCAAACATGCATGTACAAATACCTGGTACCTTGTACAGTGTACATGTACTTCATCATGGCTTTGACTTTCTTCAAAGGTTTTTACTTGGGTGTGCTTAAACTCAATCAACATCCGTGAAGACGTAAAGCTTCAAGATTTTAAGTATTCAAAAACGGGAATCAAAAGTACACATACGTGTAGCTTGCCTTGAAAAAAATGTGTAATCTCACAGCCATCGGGTTTTCTGTGTGAACTCAATACTTTCATGGCATATATGTATCCATACATCATCAGCTAGTTAATTTAAATTTAAAATTTGAAAAGAGAAAAAAATGATACCACTTTGGGAATCCTGAGACTGTTCATGGGTCATTGCACGATTGTCATAAAACAGTCATTGTATTGTGCTGATACACGTAGGTACGCTGTACATGTGATTTGAAAGAGCACTCCCTAGGCATCTTTTTAAAGAAATGGCAACGTACGTGAACCATTTCAGAATGTAAGTTAATCACTTTTCCTGCTTTAAGATCTGGTTGTGTCATCTCTTTCCTCTTCTCAGGATTTCTGGTGTCAGTTTGCCAAGACTGAGGATGACCTGAATGTTGTCATGGATAATATCCAGAGCTCGTTCATTCATATGGGTGAGTTGACTTATTTTTTTAGTTATTCAATTATTTGCTTACAGCTAAAAAATGCAACTCTGTTGTGGAGGCTAGGCATTGCCAATAAAATAAAACTACAACTAAAGTACTTGCAGTACAGTTAATAATGTACTTCAGGGGTGAGATTTCTCAGCTTTTTAGCTGATTTCAACTTTTTTGTTTTGGATTTCAGCTTTTTTTTTCCTCACTGGCTGTGTACAAAAGTAGAGGAGATTTTCACAGTTCAGCTTCTTCATGCCTTTTTTCAGCTGTTTTCAGCTATTTTTATCATTGGTCAATCTCACCTTTGGTATTTATACCAGTGTAACAGTAATTTGAGACTATAGCAGTTTGGTGCAGTTTATTTAGGAAAAAGGATTTTATACTTGAAGAACTGGAAAAAGAAACAAAAAAAGGTATATCAACAGTTCCTTTTTTTTAATTGGGAGAATAAAGTAGAATGTAAGACAGTTTCATCCAACAGCCAGAGCCAAAGGGTTAGAATAGGATGTTTTAAGCTCTGAAGGATTGAGATAACAATTATAATGAGTAAAGGTAGAACTTGTATCGTTAGTGGTGACCTTTAAAAGATCACTCTAATCTATTCCCTTTGCATGGGAATGGTCTCCAGGAATGGAACAAGTGTCGACCAGTCATTCAGATAAGTTGTTAATTTCACAAGACGACAGACCCTTACACGTGACTCATACATGTACAGTGTGAATGGTTGTGATTGACTGAAAAACTAATTTTGGTCTATCTCATACATCCCCAAAGCAGTACAAAAAAGATCTGTGTACCACAGACCCAGTCGAATCTGTTGCTCATCAAAATTGGCAGAATTGTGCAAACTGCCGACATTTGTCTAAAATTCCAAATTTTTCTGTTTTTTTTTTCGTACAGGAGAAAACCCAAGGCCACAAGACATGCATCTGAGGCCAGGGCAAGCCTGCCTTGCTCAGTGTGCACAGGATGGTTACTGGTATAGGTCAGAGGTCACAGAGGTCATGGGGGATTCCGTGAATGTCCTATGTGTGGATAATGGCAAGACTCAGACCGTCTCCAGTAACAAGGTTAGAATTGTAGTTTGGAGTCACTACTGCAGAGTAGACGCTCTCACCTGCAGCAGCCAGCAACAGTGTGAAAATTTTCTCCAAAACACTCAAGGGTAATTCCAGATATAAGGGGTCCATTTTTGGTGTGTCCCTGTCACATCTGACATATGATTTTGTAAGGTCAAAACACATTTTCTAATTTCCAAGAGTGATGAATTAATGCAAATTACCTGCCGAACAAATAGTAATAGTTTGAAATCAATTCTGGTGGTATTTTCATGTCAAGTAACAAAAGTCACGGGTAGCAGGGACACAAAAAGGTCACACTTTTGGACCCCTAATATCTGGAATTACCCTTACATTAATTTGTGAATCAAAGTCAGGAACAGGGTCATTGCACTTCTGAAAATATTTGGAAAATTCTAGTAAGAGATACTTTTCTAAACAGCAACAACTGTTAAGCCAGGTATTATAAAATGGCAATTCTTGAATTGCTATATTAAACAATTATGTATAAGTTGGACATGGAATTCTCATCGCTACTCTGACAACAAGTGGTATCAGGTGGGAATAATTCTCAATTTGTTAGATTTAAGATAAGATTTCATAAATTGCACTCTCTTAATTAAAACAACAGTTGGTGTTCTGTGTTATACTGTCATGTGCATGACATATTTCCAAAGTCAACGTTTTCTTAACTCCTAATTTTAAATTTGAAATCTTAGTTCCTCCTTTTTTCAGCAATGATATTCCTTACAGATACACTATAAAATACAGAATGACTGTTTTGCAATCTGTTTGAAATATTCCTGAACTGGTGAAATGTTTCCAGTATATTTATTCATGCAATTCCCTCCTAATATTGTTAGGAAACAAGTGTGAAATTTAATTTTCCTGTATTTCTTTTTCAGGTCAGAGCAATTGAAGCTGGCTTCATGGACCTTCACAGACAGTCATTCAGGTGCCAACTAGCAGGGGTGTCACCCAGAAAGGAGGTCTGGGATCAAGATGCTGTAGACACCTTCAAGAAGATGACCTCTGATCACTCCCTGATGGCAGACATCTTAAAGCTGGTTAAGAGTGGGGAGGGCAATACAACTGATGCTGTGGTGATCTTGCATGACGGCGCTATATCACTGTCTGATCTGCTGGTTGAGAAGGGTCTTGCGCAAGCAGTGGAAGTACATCAGTACAAAGAAGAGGAGATGGATCGTTCCTTCGGTGAGCAAATCCTGAAGACATCCCCTTGGGAAGGGCCAAAGTATGAGCAGCCAGTCTTGCCATCAGGGGAGAAGCAGGAAGTGGTGGTTCTCTCAGTCACAAGCCCCTCAGAGTTTTACTGCCGAGCTGTGGAATCTGACCAGAGTGGTATACCAGCCAAGATTAGGTCTGAGCTGGAAAGACACATTGGAGAGATGATAGGCTTGAGCAGGTTGGTACCAGGTAAAGGCATGCCATGTGTTGCCAAGTGTGAGGATGAAATATGGCAACGTGTTGAGATCCTTGATGTTCTCCAAAATGATAGGGTGAAAGTTTTCCTTGTTGACCAAGCTGTGACGCAAGAAATCTCCATTGACAACCTTCAGTTGATTACATCTACTCTACTCGGGCTGCCACTGCAAGCTGTGAAGTGCTCGCTAGAGCCAGCTCCTTCTGGATCTGACTGGTCTGAAGCAGACACTATGGCATTCAGAGAGCTCATTGAGGGAAAGACACTGCAGGCAGAACTTGCTGAGGGAGGAGTTCAGCTCTTTGATGGGGATGAATCAATTATGCAGACATTGGTCCAGAAAGCTGCAGACAGGAATGCCAAGTTGCTGCAAGGAAAGTCTGAGAAGAATTCTGAAGTGAATGAAGTTACTCAGCCTGAAGTGCCTATTGTTGAGGAGGAAGATGAAATCTTCACCGAGAGGGATAATCTGCCAGATTCCTTTAAACAGGCCTTTCCAACACTGGACCTAAAGGCTGACCAAAAAGTTACCCTGTGTCTGGTGACAGTTGACAGCCCTGATGAAATCACCTGTCAGATTGACCACGAAGAGCAGAAAGTGTTAGACATCGAACAGCAGATGACAGAGGTCTATGCAGAAAATACACAAACCAATCAAGACACCAACTGGGTTCCTAAAGTTGGAGAGCCATGTGCTGCTAAACACTCTAAATATGATGATTGGTACCGAGCCACTGTGGTGTCTGTTGACCAACAACTGGGTGTGAAGGTCTTCTATGCTGACTATGGTGGCACCGACAGTGTCCTCTTTGAGAGTGTTCGTGAGTTGGAAGAGGAATTGAAACAACTCCCAGCTCAAGCTATGAAGTTTCATCTGAATAAGCCTCTTATGCCCCTGACAAAGTGGAACAAGAAAACTAAAGCGATCATGGAGGGCCAAGACACAGAGCGAGATTTGCACGCCAAGATCCTGGAAGTCCAGGAGAATGTTGTCATTGTAGAGCTAGCAGAGGAGGACCATTCATTCCTCACCCACCTAGTTGATCAGTCTCAAACTAGCTCTGTTGACAATGAAGATGAGGAAAGGGAAGGTGAGTTCTTCGATGCAGTTGATCAAGCTTCAACCGAAGAAGAGGAAACATATGAGGATGCTGATATTGATAGGGCATTGGAAAGCATACCTGCTGACACTGCCACTTCAGGAGACACAAGGGATGATGTCCAAAAAAGTATTGCAGAAATTGTTGAAGACCTCTTTGAGAAAGCAGCTAAGCAAGCGTTGGATGATCAGAAGAGTTTAGAGGCAAAAGACGAAGACACCAGCAGTGGCTCCAACCAGAAGGACTCAACCAATACTTCATCTGTGCCTCCATTTGTGGGTGGCCCCAAGATGATCAGCATGAAAGACATCCTTGACCAGTTTGTGGACCACACCCTGCAGAAGATAAATGAAGAAGACAATGGGGGTGACATCAAGCAAACTGATGAACAGGAGGCAGATAGTGATAACTGTGTCGAGGATGAAGTTGGCCATCCGTCAGATGGAGATGATGAAGAACAAGAAATCCAGGAGGTTGTTAATGGAGATTTAGCTGATGAGGAAGAAACATCTGAAACAGGTGGTGAGACACTTGATGTAGAAGACTCTGCCACTACAGAAGCGGAATATGACAGAAGTGAAAAGTCTGAAGAATCTGCAGCTGTTTCTCTCCCAGATGATGCAGAGCAAGGTACTGAGGATCAACCTGATGAAAGTGCTAAAGATTCAGATGAAAACCAACAAAATGAGTTACCAGCTACAGAGCTTGGATCAGAGGACCAAAACTTTGATGATCAGACCCTTAAGGAACCAGAGTTAATTGATCAACAGGATGGACATATGAAAACAGAGGAAACTCTAACAACTGAAACACGACCTGAACCACAGACAGATGAGCGACAAGCAACTCATGATCAGGATGATTCTGCCAAAGAAATGATAGCAAGCGTGGATCCTGGCACAGTTGAATTAAAGGAGGGACAGGTTCTTGAAGATCAGCCCTCTGTTCAGGATTCAGAGGCAGAAGTGCCAGCTGTAGAAAATCTTACACCTGTCACTCAGATGGATGCAGAGAATGTGTCTGATGATCTGACTTCCGCAAGAGAAGAACCTGCTGGAGATTCACCCAACTTGCCAATAGATACAGAAGAAGTACCCCCACAATCTGCAGAAGAGGAGGGGGTTGAAGTAGATCCAGTTAGTTCTCCACTGATGGACATTGCCAGTGAGATAGTAAAAGGTGAAGAGTCCCCTACAGATGCTGCAGTTGAGGTACAAAATGGGTATCAGGCCACACCTGGCAAAGAACAGTCCTCAGGTCAGGAAGATACTGCTATGGAGCAGGCTGCTGCTGAAGGCCCTGATGAGGAAACACAGGATCAGGATGAGAAGCAGCCAGAGTTGGAATCATAAATCTCATGGTTCATTTATAGAGACCAGTTGGGTCCAAAAGATAACAGTGCCTTTACAACCAAGGAAACCAAAGTTTCTTGGGTTGCATTATCAGTTGTATTTGAAAAGTTTAAATGAATCACTATTTAAGTATTCAGAGAAAAAATAAAAGTAGATTTTTTTCTTTAATTGATTGTCTTGTTAGGGGTACATTTAGCTTCATAATGTGAACTTAGTAAACAAATGTTGTAGCTTGTTCACTATAATGGTCCAGTTCCAAATCCAGCCGACAAGATTTTGAAGATTATAATGGCTTTTAATGGAAGGTAATATTTTTTGCTTTGGTTTGCCATGTTTATAATTCTGTTGAGGAATTTCTGCCAACAAACTGCATTTTGCACAATATCTTTTTGATGTGAGCTCACATTTTAATGATCTTTTACCATGTGACATGCTCCATAATCAGAAGTAATCCATAGTGAAGTAGATTTTCACACAGACTTGTAGAGACACACCTCTTGCCATATTCATGGTTTTGGGTTTAAACACAAAATGGAATGAAATGAGAAGTTTTAGTGCTTGTATATGTTTGCCTTTGTGTGCAGAAAAAAATAGTGTCAAGGAAAGATAGATCGATTCTAATTTCACTGTAGAAAAATAATGGTGGTATTGTGCCTTGTCGTTTCCACTTACTTTTGATGAGTCCATTCATCCTCAAACCTCACTGCAGTCTGCAAAAAATATCTTCAGTTTGATTTCTTATTTTTCATACCAAGAGTATATAGATGACTAGTGTTGTGTTTGGGTCTCCTGGCCTGTGTATGTTTTTGTTTGTTTTTAAGTCAGACTCTCTGCTTTGTCCATTTCCATAATGATGCTTAATGTGCCCCTTTAGAATGCCTTATGTACTAGTACCTGCTTTGCAGCTAAAAGTTGTTTAAGTTCGACCATTTCATTTCACTGTCAGCTACCATGGTTATGAAATAGTTGTACATGTACATTAAATGGACCTATGCCACGGATACCAAGGGAACAAAGTCGTTCACATTGTAACATTTAGCTGTTGCATTTGGGTTGGGGTTGGGAACTAGATATATGTACATAGCATATGTGTAGTCATTTAAAAAGTCCTCACTGCAAAGGAGTTTTGACTAAGTCACTTACAAACCACATGGCAAACTTAATGAGACAGTTTAAAACATGTAGGGGTTAAGGGTACAGGTAGATGTGTTCTAACATAGTACATGTACTTGATTCACACTCATGCTTGGTGATGTGACATTCTGTAATGCAAATGATGTCATGGACAGTAGTTGACATGACACATCCATATGGTTGTTGCTTTTACAAAGGACATATCTACGGTATAGCATCTTGCAGGGTTGATGAATTTACACCAACAGAGGCATAATAGGTTATGTTTATTTCTATTTATACTCATTAGGCACTGAGCAACCCAAAAAGTATGAAAGAAAGATGATGATGTAATTGTATTGATGTGCTTTGTAGTATGATAGGCACAGATATCTGTGTCAAACCAGCAACTACATGTAGACTATCGATGCACATACTTGGAGAGTGTCGTTGGTATGTATTCATTTCTTTATTTTTCATTAGTAGAATGTGTAGCTTTTTTTTATACTTTAAAACTTTGTTTATGATTTAACCAAAAATTAATTCCATATTTTTTGTATGTTATACTTTATTATGTCATTTGTCGATACTTCATTCTAATTGCCTTCCATTTTTTACCATTTGAGTTGTTTCAGAGTTCAAGAATAAGAGTTCAGTGTTACTTTAAGAAAAAAATCTGGTCAAAGTTGTTGCAGATTATGTCAACAAAAATGAAATTTGATACCTGAATGAGCTTAGGAAATCAGGGGAAATCATTATGCTAAAATATATGAAGCTTAAAAAAAATGATAAAAGCACTGTTCATGATTACAATGTTAAAGATACAGTGCCACATAGTCATATTCCACATACATGTACTCAGCAGTCAAGTGAGCATATATGTGTGTACTGTAAGGGAGGCATTTATTTCCTTTAATGCATTGTCATTGTTGGTGTTGTTTTGCATGGCATTAACTTTGTTGGCACAGTTAGATCGCTTTTCTATTCAGTGATCCAATCTGGAAGACTGAAAGTCCAATTTAAGAAATGTTAAACCACAGGCATTTGTATTTGTGTGTCTATTGTCCTGCATTTGTTAGTTGCTTTATGTGGGGTGAAGTGTTCCATTTACTAGACGTAGTTGTAATGTAGTTGTAGATATGACAAGACAGTTGTTCTAGTTCACTTTTCCAAGACTGGTTCCATGGCCTTCACATGTACAGACGATGAAGGTATTTCCTTTGCTAGAGCAACTGACTCTTTCTACTTGTAGATGCACAGCCATTTGTTCATGCTGAAATCTGAAAACAGAATCTTTTGTTCTTGTATGGATCATGTAAATGTGCGCATCTTATAGCTCAGAAAAGTGTCTCTTGACAAGATTGATTTTTTACTCAGGATGTGAAGACACATACACACGTAGTTAACATACTTATCTTTCTTGGCTGCAGACATGGTTGCTACAGTGTGTGACTCTTTGTATCGGTGTAACAGACATACAAGTGCACATTTGTCTATTGACTAAATCTTGAGTTATCTTGAGTTACATGAATGTTTTCATTAGTCTGTGAGCCGTGAGTTTGCACATTAGTTACTTAATACAGCTTTCTGGCAGTGGACAAGTGTGACAGTTTGTCTGGAGAAGACATAGTTTTGTAGCACACATCTTGGTTAACAAATGTAAAAGTTCAAATCAAGAGTGAAATTTTCTTGCCAAGTGACACCAGTGTTTAAGCCTTTGCTTTTTCTTTGCACACAAAAAAATAAATGTTTCTGTTGCAAAACATGCAATTCAGATTTGGGTGTTTTCTTATTTTCTCTTTCAGAGCCCCGTGAAATTAGTTTTTCCCAAAAGTGAATGCATTATCCCATTTCATTGTGGCAGAATGAATGCTGCGGGATAACTTCAAAGTCATGAAAGTGGAACTTGTGTTTTCCCGTCCAAACGTAAGTTGCTGCCACAATTGTAGTTCAAGCTGTTGCAATGTGCTACGCGAGTCTTTTCCTGACATACTGTTGGCATGGCTAACCACTAGCATTTCCATGTGTGTAACTGTGAAGGAAAATATTCCATTTTGTATTCGTGGAGTTGAGAATTAAAAGGCCTGTTAGAAGCCTACAGTTTCTCATGATGTCTGATTATTCTCTTTACGTTTTGTTACATTTGTGATTCCAAATCCTGGACCAGAAGTGCTTAGCAGATTGATGTGAAGCCCATATCCATTTGTCTGAGTCATTTAGGCTAAGTTGGGATTCGTGTTTATTTCAGCTTCATCTACAGCTTTGGTTTCATTTTGGGCTCTTGAGCAACACTTTTTAGAGATAATCGTGAAAGTTTTATTTCTTATTTAAAACTGCAAGTATGCCTTTTCAACAACCCTCTCAAAAAAGTATTGTATGATTCTGTGAAAGCTAGTCTTGATAGTGCAGCAGTTGTAAAAATAATTAGTCGACTCTCGTTATAAAGAACACTGCTATAACAAAACGTGTGCTGTTATAAAGCACAGATGTTGAGAATCCCAATTTCTTGAATTGCTATGTATTTGTTTTTTCACTCCTCTTATAACAAAATCCTGGTTATACCACAGTAGTTTGTTCGGTCCCTGCAGCTTTGTTATAATACCTCAGATAGTTGCCTTATTCAACAACGTGCAACTTGACCGTGTATCAACATTTGATAATACCCACTAAGAAGTGATAATTCCCGCTGCGTAAATCAGGCGCTGGCACCTGCACTTGAATATGAGACAGTTTAATCGATTCTGATTGGTCAAGAGTCTGTGTGCACATGGCTTGCCAAGCACCCGTCAAGTCTGTATGAGGAGATTCTTTTGGACCACTTCCACAAGGAATATACAATAAAATGGACGGGGGGGTTGGGAAAATGAGAGTAAAAATCTAGTATAAATCATTGGAAATCCATCATATATTAAATCATTTGACTCTGACTAAAAAATGTATTTATGAATGGGAATAAATATGTGCATGGCCGGTCTTACACATTAGTTGAAGGAGACTGAACTCTGATAATGCCCAAGCGGCATGGGCATCAGTTGCATCCATTCTCCAGAGTCTTAAACGCACATCAAGACCGGCCAAGCACATATTTATCCCCTCAATAAAGATGTCTGTCCCTCCAAGAAAAGGAAGTTGTGGTGACCCAGGTAGATTTCAGCTTTTCTACAGTGCCACTCAAATGCAGGCCTTGTGGCCCACACACAAGCATAATGGGTGTAATGCATACCTCGCATTAACAAGTCATCAATACCCATGGACTGCCGATAATGACAGTTTTGCCGTTGGGACATTCATGTTTCAGATGCCCGTCCATTCCTGAAAACAAACAGTAGGAAATTTGTTTTGCTTCTGCGCCCTTTCATGCCATAGGACTTTGTCCACATTCAAAGGGCAGTCATGTTTGTGTCCTTTATCCGCCTCGAGCTGAAGTGCGCCCCCAAGTGGCAAAAGAAAGACAGATGGCTGTAAATTATCCAAGCTGGTTTTTGCAGGCGTTCTGCATGTACGCAAAGACCATTCATTAAGGAATAAATTTGTAATGCGTACTCATGTGCTCCACGTCAAATGCACCATTGATCTTGATTATAAACGCTTGCCTATGCGGTGAGTACTGAAAAAGCACACCCTCTCTTGTTCCGCTCGGAGCAGATACAAATGTAAAATGCAGTTTTGAGATGTCTGACCCTTTCATTACATCATTACTGTCACTAAAGACAATGAAGTCTTGCTTACAGAAGCATGTTGGAATGGGCAAAATAATTTTCTTGTGTATCGATGTGTCTCGCTATTAAAGCAAACCACATCTCTGCTGTACACTGATTGTGCCCAGTATCCTCAGGACATGGAAGGGGCTTCAGGAATTTTTGTTCATACAAGTGAGTGGTTATGACATATTATCGCTGTTGGTGAAGCCATTTAATCTTGTTTTCTCCTTAAACATACATGCAAAGTACATGTAATACCCCTACATGGCTTATGCTTTTAAGAGGGTCTGCAACCTTCACTTTGAGGTAGGCCCCTGAAAACAAAAGTTTGACTATATTGCAGCAGATTAAGCAGCATGTGGCCTTTGCTCCAGTAACAATCTGAGAGTTCCACGCACATTCAAAAAGGCAGGAGACAGGTCCTTCTCAGTGTCTGGTCCCCGATGCTAGAACTCCTTACCACACAACATCCACAACATCAGTTCCTTTGACCAATTTAGGGGTAGACTGAAAGCTCATCTGTTCTCCTGACATTAGCTCATGGTAACTTGTTTTCTGGAGTTATTCTTGCCGTACATTGTAACTTGCGTAAATGTACATTATAAGTCTTATTAGTATACTTGTATATTTAAGTTGCAGACCTCACTCATACTGTATATTCCCAAAGTGACTGTTGCAACATACTAGACTGCCATAACCAATACTAACCAAAATAACCATAACCAAATCTAATCGCCCCCATCTCATTACAGGGCTTAATCACACGCCTAAAATGGACACAGTTAAAAGCGTAACTTTGGACTTTCACAATTAATTTTATTTCAGCAATTAAAAACAATGCATGATGAAAAACAGACTTGATAGACAAAAGTTGGTGTATTCACTCAGACAGATTAAGCAATAAAGTGCAGATCACCAACTGTTGTCCAATGTTACAGATGTTACACAGATACACGTATTTCAATTGAATGTTGTATAATTATGGTACGTACATGTAGACATATTTTGTAGTTTAAAATGTCTTTATGTATTTACAGTTTAACATGAAAAATTGAGTTACCTCCCAAAATGTTAGTTGGAAAGCTCATGGTCCACTCCCATTATGTACAAGTGTATGATGAAACAAGTACCACTTTTAAATACATGTGGTCCTTTGGTGAGCTACATGTACCACAAACATGACAATTAATCTGCATTGAAAGTTATGCAAGGACACATCCAGGAATTTTGGGGGGGGTATTTAGGCCCATCAGATTCGTTATGTCTGATTATTGCAGACAGGTGTACACATAATGTACATGTACACCATAGAGTAAGGAAACAGACACAAAGGTACAATATTACATTGTTACTGATGATGCACCTGCCAAACACATAGCTAGTCTCCTGTTCATAATACTCAGACAGTTCATGTTCAAACATATGTAGTCACCCTTTCAAGCATGTCATCTTTATTATTATTATCATAACTGTGACTTCATTTTTTACATGTGTTTCTCTCTTTTTTTTGGTGTCAGTGCAGAGGGTTTTTTGACCCAATCCCCGGATCAGCACCTGCATTTCATGCTTATTGCCCATGGATGTAGATTAAGCACTGTCCACTAGCAGTGTAGGTCCATTACGTACTCTGATGTTGTCTCTGGTTTCCAACCAAAAGCCTTCGCCTAGCGTCACACACAAATGACTAGTGACTGTCTGTCTTGTACATGTATGTTTCATGTTGTGGGCACATATGTATGAGACAGCTACGCCATGCTCATCACACACAGAAAGTCATTGATTGCAGTGGGTACAATGATGAGACTTGAGCATGTAGATGTACCTTGCAGGAAAACACTCTGCTGCAAGTCCCACAAACATGAAACCCATACACTGCTGACTGCAGCAGACTGTAGATGAAATCCCATCCACAAAGATTGCTCACTGACAGTCTAAGGAGCTAGGTACACAGCGTTTACATATGCTGATTCACCTCTTGACCAGTCTCTCACCATGTTCATTTGCTGATTCACCTCTTGACCAGTCTCTCACCATGTT